ATCAGTTAAGTGTATGTCACTCTACTGTACAGTAGGTTACAAATTGGTCAATGTTTAATAGATATTATTAAACTTGAATACAATGATATAATCATTGCATGTGAAAAATAATTGTCAGTGTAGACGGTTTGTCAGTCTGCATAATTTATAATATATTGGTATTATTCATGAATCATGATATCATGTAAGTTGAATTAATTATATAATATTATTATTTTTATTCATTTCTATGGTGATAAACAGGCCGTTATAAATTAAAATAATATTTTTAGCGGGTTTTCTTAATTTTTCGGTGGTTTTTCCCGTTTCAATGTGGCATTATATAATTATTGAGAAAATCGAAAAACGACCTTTCAAAAGTAACATCTTGAAACAATTTTCTAAGAGATAAGATACTATATTATGTTGAAATCTAAGCCCTCTTTCTGGTAGAAACTTTGTATAAAAATCACTTATGCAAAAATTCAATATCTAGGTAACTATAATTTTGCAGAATCAAAAAAATTACAACTCTACATAGTATCTTAAAAATCTACAATACTTAATACTTATCGAGTTGTACAATAGGTAATATTCTTTATGCACTTATGACATGTTGGTATTTTGATTTTTGGCTTTTTGGACATAAATAATTTCTGTGATATTATAAATAAAAATTCTGTCACAGTTTACATAAAAAACAAAGAATCAGAATGGTTTTTCGTATACAATATGTCACCAATTTACAACTAATATTTTCCTTATTATTTAAAATTCACCACAGTTAGTCAGGCCACTCTTTTATAGGTACAATAAATGTATTACAAATTTCAAGTTGATGAGCAAAAAAAAAATTCAAAAGGAGTTGAACAATTACAATTTCTTTTACGATCAACGAAGTGTTTAGGATCAGCTAGTATAATATATAATTATGTGCCCTAAATTTGATACTCAAGTAGATAATAATAAGTTGACCGCAAAAAGGACAAAAGGGCTGTCCCGGAACCTAGGTAATATTTACGCATTCGAGAAACCTTTTTCGATGGGAGCAGTTTACATGCAGTTATCGAATATATTTACCTAATATATTGGTGATCCAGACCACAGTCGTGAAGCGAGCTAAGCAAAAAAAAAAAATAACTGTACGACCGTGTGTGTATACTATATCAAAGCAAGTGTTGCCTATTTGAACTGTGTAAAATAAGGGTGAATTTGTTATACGACATAACTAATTTTCTAATACATCAATGAACTCCTAAAAAACTCCAAGAAATCAGAAATATTGTGTGGAATATGCTTTTGTAAAAATCATAAAAATCGTACGTTTAGAAATTAAGTTATAAATGAAAAATTGTTAACTTTTTAATTTAAATTTATATTAAATTTAGAATCACGGTAGCCGTTGTCTTCGTAGTCGTCGTAGCAACAGCATTACCAATGTTTGCCATCAAGTCATCGGTTAAAATATGACAAAATTACCGTACTATAAACAATATTACCGTTCTTATACCTAGATCATACTTAGTATTTACACAAACAATATTGTTGTCAGAACTTTACGCTGTACTATATACATTATACTATATCTATAATATATAGATAAAAATATAGATACATTATCATTATTTGTATTGATGAGAAAATTAGTGATATATCAACAAAAACCCTTCGTAAACTACGTATAAAAATGCCTAAGTGAAAAAAATATAAGATATTTAAGCACTGTAAAGATGGGATATCATGAATAAATGCTAAGTACATTGAATTTAAGTAAACATATTGGGTTTCAATAATGTACTTATTTACTTTCCGAGGAATTATTTAGAATAGTATATAAATATTAATGATAATATTTTTAATATAATAATAAGTGATATTTTAATAGTAATTCACAATTTAATTATTTTGTTCATCACACTTTGTTTCTTTTAAGAAATAATTCCTAGCCAAGTAAATAAATTATTGAAAGAAAATAAGTTTAATTAAATTCAATATACTCAGCATTTTTTCATGATATCACATCTTTATAGTGCTTAATATATCATACTTATTTTACTTAGCCATTTTTACACGTAGTTTACGAAGACTTTTTGTTGAGGTATATATATATATATATATATTATTTGTTTAAATATAATATAAAAAAGTGGTTTCCTACCGGTAGGAAATTTAGATGGAAGGAAATATTATTGTGATGATGAATTAATAATGAACTATTTGTTTTAAAATTTAAAACAACAAATTAATTTTACTAGGGTATAATATTTTATTATTATTTATAATATTTAATATTTGATTTTTAAAATGATGGAAAAAAGTCATTAGTTGTATTATATAGTTATTAGTTATTTTTTATCACTATCGTCTAAACTCTAATTAAAGAGGTCGTAATATTTTTGAAGATTTACAAGGGGCGTGAAGTATAAAAAAGGTTGGGAACCACTGATAGGGTCATAGCTTGTTTATATTAGTAACGTTAATAGAATATTGTATTCCATTAAAAATATGTAAAATATATCCCTTACGGGTACCTACGTATAATGTGTTTTTTCGATCAAAGATAATGTAATTTACATTATTACTTATCCAACCATTGGCGCAACTCCCGTGAGTGTTAGATGATCAATTACAACTTACAAGAGAACAGAGATGTGATATTATAAGATATCGAGGTTATAATCTGTAATATACATATTATATAAATGTTTTAAATATAATAACAGTGAACAAGAACGTCTTTACTCTTTCGAGTTTAGATAATTCGAATTACTGGTGTCTATGTCAGAGACCCGAGTATATAAAATTATATATAACTAATAATAAATTATTAAGAAAATAATATTTTTCATAGTTATATAATAAGGTATGACTGTTTTTCATTTTTATTATCGGTTTCTAGCAGGGCCCCACTCTGGACATTCTCATAATATGATGTTATAGTATAATATTATGTTATGTTATGTTATGTTATGTCATGTTATGTTATAATATTATGTTCGCCACTGTATCCAACCGTAACAATTTACCATAATTTTAAAGTGTTGAAATAGGAGTTTATGATTTACACCAAAATAAAGATCAATACTGCAAGTAGCCAAAAACAGTGTTTGTAACTTGCACCAAAATAAAGGTATATGTAATTTGAACCTCAGTAGGTACCTACCTAGTTGAAAATAGTGTTTGTAATTTGCACCAAAACGAGTATCAATATAATATTCGATTTTCAAGTGCCTATCTGACTACTCGTTGGTTTTCTGGTGACCCACAGTGATATAAAATACAATTTAGCAGCCAAATACTATAACATCGTTTTTTTTTTTTTTTTTTTTATCAATAGGTAATTTATCTTTATAATATTCTGATTCTAAAGAATCATTTAATTCAAATTTAATAATATTATAAACTCGTGTTATATAGCTGTTTTTATAAAACATCTTCCTTATTTGATTTATTTACTGCATTACTTGCATAACATTTTATATTATTTTAATATACAATTTTAATTTTAGACACTGAACGGAGAGTTGTTTTACAATGATGTTTATTTCTTTAACTTGTAAACAATATTTCTAAGAGAACTAGTACTTCGATTTCAACATAAGATAGTGTCTTATCTTTTATCAAATTCGATCAAGATAAAGTACCATCTTTAGAAAGGACATTTTTTTGATTTTCTAATTAGTTTTTTAACACCACGGGAAATATCACCAAAATACCTTATTGCTAAGCTATTCTTATTTTCTAACGCTTTGTTTATCACCACAGAACCAAATACAATTTTAAAATAACCGCTAAAAAAATGAAAATTTATGAATCTAATTTCGATGTATATAAAATAATATTTTATTAAACGTACTAATTTCTATATACAAATATAATATACAATGATACATATTATAATTACTAATTGTTACACTGATCCTCCCCACAGAATCGTTTTTTTATCGAATACACTATCCTGTCCGAGGACTTTTTTTTTCAGTATGTTAAGTACATGTTGATATGTTATCAACAGATTAAGTGTTTTTATGGTTTTTGAATTTTCAAACAATTATACTTAAATTCTAGGTTAGACTGAATTTTAAGTGGTGAAATAACCACTCGGAATCTATAAACGGATTATTCTATGTCTTTAGCTTCTCAGATCTCAATTATAGGCTCTATCGAAAGAAGAATCGATTAGAATTTTGGTGTAAATTATAATTCCTATTAATATTACTAACTTAGCAAATGGTGTAAATTATATATCTAATTATTTTGGTGAAGATTAAAAACGCAGTTCAACATTTTTGGTCAAAATTACATAATATGTTGTAGACGTTTACTTAGAGTCAATTTCGGTGCAAACTGACCACACCTGTTGGAACCTACATGGGAAGTACCTATGGGTATAAGTATTTATTACTTGCTTACTCTTATATGCTAAATTGAATTTACCCGCAGAATAAATATAAGCGTTCGGCGTATGTCCCGAAACTTTTATCAGCAAAGGTATTTCAAATATTGATCCGTAATAACTAATAGTACTTATACAAAGTCATTTTAGTTATAAGTATTTAAAATAAACTAAATGCTGTAAATCTGAAACTTTATCAAATCAAATTTACTTCGACCGGATCAATATTGTATAAATGTACGTGACCACTTACCTTTATTGATACTTTCAAATTAATGGTAGAAAACATGACAACAATGAAATGAATATTTCTTTTTAAATTGTATAAAAACTGATGTATTATTTAAGATTAATAAGTATAATGAAAAAAATATTTATTTCAATAAAATAAAATAATTTATAAAAGTTACGTTTTTAAGGTTAATAAGACGTAAAATGAATAAAATAAAAATAATTATGAAAATTACCAACACCCAAACTACATTTTTAGATTAAAAAACTAATAGTCATAACAATAATAATACTTAAAAATATGTTTATATAATACTATATTATATAAAAACTATTGAAATTAATTAATAATAGTTGAGCTTAGTAAAACACTGAATTTGAATAGTTAAAACTTTTAATGATCATGATCGTGGCCATCATGTGAATCATGGTGGTCGTGATGTGCGTGTTCATGTAATACATGTCCATGATCAAAATGCTGAAAGTTGTCATCTGTGCCGTGGCTATGGCTATGGCTGTGGTTATGACTGTGGTTATGACCTAAAAAGTTATATAATTATTAATTAATATAAAAATACAAAATCAAAGACAAAGTTGTATAGGTATGTATAATTAAAACCACTGTAGGTTATAGGGTCATCAAAATACTGTCTCCACAGACCTGTTATTATAAATATATGTTTATGTATTAGACGAGCTGTAATCTTGTCGTCCCTTATGTTAATCACCGTATATTAATACATTTTAATACACGATAATTCCTATTGTATGAACATCGTAAATTTAAAAATTTATAATTTATTATAATCGATCTATTAAGAAAATTGATGGTAAGAACGTTAACTGTGTTCGTATGTTGGTTTATTACGATACCTAGTTCAATGTTGTAGCAAGTCATATGCATATATAATATACCGTAAATTAAAAATGCTCATAACGCACTTAAAAACTGAATAATCGTATATAAAAATGAAAAAAATTATTAAAAAGAGATAATGTGTTCACGTTCCCAAAAAGTGTTAATGAAAAAGAATTCATTGTTCTTCGTTGAATAATATATCGACAGGTTGGATACTTAATTTTTAAGCTTTTTAAGCAATTGAGCTCTCTATAATATACCATGTCTAAGAAAATTACAAGTCTTTACATTTATTCTGATTATTCAGTTATCAATTCCGCAACAATATATTTGTTAGTAAGTATACTATGATCTTCTATATAGCTAGGTACACTAAACATAGTACACACAATACACACATACACACACAAAAAAAAAATATGTATTACCAATATAAATAAAATAGAAATTAAGAATATACCTCTAAAATATACAAGCTTAATATATTAAATAATCAAAGCAATTACGAGTTGTATTTGATTTAATATGAATATCGTGTATAAAGCCAAGTCGAAAAATTGCATATTAAAATGCAGGTTGACATAACGAGACATAAATAAATAATAATCCTATAATAGGCACATAACTTCTATTAAAATAAAAGCGGGTTTTAATACATATACTTATGAGTTTGTGATTTAAATTTTAAATCATATTAGCTAATAGCTCTATAATGTATCATATTTGCTCTATATAGCATAATATATGAAAAAAAAACTAATCAACTACAGAAATAGGTTAGTTAAATATAACTTTTAGCATAAACATTAGTAAACCAATCATATACATTTATATATACATTTACGTACTAGGCAGGTATGATTTTTTCTCCCCAAAAATTTAGTGAATCTACAACAAGAAGAAATAAAATTTCAGATTTGATTTCGGTTAAAAGAAAATATAAATAAGGCTATCAGAGCAGTTAATGTTATGTAATATTGTTATATAATACACACACACTATTGTTCAAACTACAAAAAATATAAATATAAATTATAATCGTTTTTTTTTTTTTTAACTTGTTCCTAGGTAGATACAAAGTATAATATAATCTACTCGTATATATGTAGGTAACGATTATTGAAGTCCACACGTCATTGCATATATATTAAAAAACAAGAACCTACCTAATAGGTATGGATGCATTTATTAAAGTGTAATTAAAATACACAAAATTTCGTAATTCGAATAATAATTGACAGGTTTGATCATAATTAATGCATGCATAATTCTCGACGTTAAACTAAACAACACACATATTCCAAACTGTCACTATCTATTTAGAATAAATTATTATCTTATACCATTAAAATGTTAATGTTTACAATTTTACATAAGCCGATGAATATTAAAAATAAACCACGACAACGATAAAAAAAAAAAACTGCTATATTTTAGAGCCTAGACTCACACCTTCCAATGAAATGAATTTGGGAAATAATGTACGACAAGTTTTTTGTATAAAACTAATCAAAGTACCTTGGTACCTTTTTAACAAGAACATTAGATGTATGTAAGTCTAACTTATTTAATTAAGAAACTAGTTTTACTTTAACATTTGAAATAAACTATTTCGATTAATTATTAGCAGTTTTCCATACACCAATAAAATAACTAATATGAAAAAATATATTTTAAGAATCAAAGATGACTTATGGTATGTAGGTACTTTAAAATAATTTGGATTGGAGATTGACATTTTATACTTAGTATAAAACATTTGTCTATTATTTATTGGAATTGTGTACATCATTCACATTATACATTTTATTATTATAGGTAGTCTAGACAGTAGACACATTATAAGAACATAATATTTAAAATACATTAGTGTAAAGTACCTATAAGTGATCTATCGTGTCTGAGAATTCCTAAAATGTCATTTAATAGATAGTTCTCACAATGAGGTTTTTCCAGTTCGCCGACGCCCAATATTTATCCCACAAGGTAAATGTGTACATAAAATAGTTTTAAATACAACTGAAAAAATATTATTCCTTATTTTTAAAAACTATTAATAACTAGGTTTACATTGGTAAATTTAGTGTTGGCTTCAACAATCACAACCATTCATCGTTATAAGTATTATATAGGTATACGTTTTTCAACGTAATTATGTGAGAACATTAAAATTTATTGAAATGAATATGAGACATTAAATCTGGGCATAAACGAGTTGAAAAGTTAAAGTTAAGATAACATTTTAATAATTTAGTTTTAGCTTGACTGTTTTTATTGATATAAACTCAACGAATAATCCGAGTTACTTTTAATCAAATAATAGTTACGATTGTTTATAAATAATTAAATAATCTAGCCCCACAGATATCAGTAAAAAAAAGAGTTCGAGACGGCCAATTCGCATTTATCAAGTGTAATTTTATAAAAAATTTGTCCAATCATAACAATCCAACTATGATTTCGGACTATGCATAATTTACACCGCACGTCGGTATCCACCGATATTTCAACAATACATGGTAGTCGTCTTCTCCACAATTAAGTGACATAAGCAATGTGTTTCAGTGGCAAATTTAATTGGGGGTACAGAGGGGCCTGGCCCAGCCCCCCATTGGAATATCATCTAGGTTAATAAATAGGGCAGTTTTAAAATATTTGTGTCGTAAAACTTTAAAAAAGAATACGCTCTCCTCTCAGAAAAAAAACCTATACCAGCCACTGCTATGTTTGAAAGTATTTCAGTAGGTACAAGATATGATCGACGGAGTTAGATTTGAAAGTTGTTTTGTTTTTACTTGATGAGGTGCGATAATTTAGTACAAATAGCTTAACTTTAATAGTATTATGTTAATATTGTACAAATATAAAATTGTAATGTATATACTTATGTCATCATTATAATATGTTCAATTGTAAGTTCAAATATGAGTAAGCGGCAAATCGAACTTAAATTATTTGTATTAAATCATCGAACTTCGTCAAGTACAAACAAAAATAATTAGCGAACTTTTTACACGTAGTTGATGGAGTGTTTTTATTGAGTAAATATAATTCAATTATGATTGATGATACGTGTTGCATAAACATTTACTTTTTATTATTTTGAACCATATTACTGACCATTTAAAAACTTAAAAAAAACTCTAAGTTTCCATATAACTTTGAACACCACTGGGTTAAAAAAAAAACTTAGGATAACTTAACTTAATTCAATTAAAAATTATAATTAACTTGTCCTGGCTTGTATTATACATGACTTTATATCTAAAATGTTGACTAAAAAGTTGACTAAAATATTGATATTATGTTCTACTGCTGTTAGATCAAGGTCTACATTACAGGTAGGTATATAATGTATTATTAAACAGCACGAGATTTTTTATTACAAATAATTAATAATTCTAGTTCCTTGTTTTAAGTATTTAAAAACCGTTTAGGTACTCACTTATCATCTGCAGCACCAGCATAACGCAAAATCCAAGGATTATGGCCATGAGGTTCGAGAATCCCGACTGTTTGTGTCGGGCGAGCACCTCGAAGAACACGACATACAAGAGAGTGCCGGCGGCCAGCCCCTGGAGAACGACAGCCAACACTCCGGGAGACCCATCCATAGTTCCATCATCGCCGAAGTGTACTAGTAACATGCCAATAGCGATGCCCACTGGCGTGACAAAAGCAAACGTGGCTACGTAAGTGATGATAATGGCCCTCTTGGTCTCCAACCAGGCCAGTTCCAAGCCGATGCAAAAGGCGATGATTAGTTTGTGTGTGGCCACGGCAAAGAACAGATACCACGTGTGGTCGACGCGCTCTTCCAACCCAATGGCCATGCCTTCAAACACCTCGTGAAACGATAGGGCCATAACGGCAAACAGGCCTCGAAACGACTGTCCAGCTGGTCTTCTCACGTTCCTCGAAGCCTGTCTTTCAGCATCAGCACCGTCACACATCACCTGCCGTCGTTCTTCCCCTGACCTGCTGGGAGGTGGAATTTCCTGGAAAATTGGTCGGTACCGTTCCTCACTTGACTCGTTCATATGTTCCTTGACAACGGAAGTGGCCGGTGGTTCAGTAGGTGTCTGCAAAGTGGGTGGTCTCGACGATGGAGTACGCCGCCTCAGGCTCATCGATCGATGCAGTACCTCTTCGCTAGGTTCATTGTCCTCGTACCAGCTGTCCAGCACGGTGTGCACTACTTGGTCGATAATAAATACAAGAAAGAACCCGGAGCAGAAAATTAGGTCTCCCAGGTTCTCAAAACCGTGGAAATCAAATAGCTGACCGTCGTGTTGTAACTGTGTGACAGCTTCCCGGACTTCTGGTTGCAGGTGTAAGAGAGTGGTGAATAGCAACACGCCGCCACCGAAGCACAACAGCCGTGAGACTAGTGGTGAAAAATCGGTGGCTGAGTCCCCGGGGTGCGAGTGGCCGCCGGTTTGTCGCGGTGGTTCACCGTTCGGGTACCACCATTTTTTGGTAATGAATTTCATGGGTAACACACCCAGAACGAACGAACCGACGCCCAGGACGAACATGGCAATCGTCTTGGCAACCACGATATGTCCCAAGAATGACGACCCTCTGACTTCCATCCCGTCTTCCGCCATTTGATTGTGTTTGGTATGTATTCGTGAGATATGCCTTTACACTGTACTCGGCGTATAAACGCGTACTGCACTTCCTCTGAAAAAAAATTCCAATAAATAAATAAAAAAAATAGTGACGAAAAAATGAATATTTACCGGTGTTTATAATATATCGGAGGATACCGCGTACTCACGACCGTTCACTGGAATGCGCCGCTGGATACTAGTAAACTAGTTTCTGTAGTGCAGCGCTGTGGGTTTCATACCCGTCATGACGTGCGACGGCGACGGCGGATTACCAGTTACCACCACCACCACCATTACCGCCACCACTATCCCTACCACTATTGCTACCTCAACCTACCATACTACGACCGTCCTTACTTGCACACATACTGACCTACGAGAATATTATGCTGCAATGTACACAAACCCAAATACACACATGTATGATATTTCTTTATATCTCAGCTGCACACGGACAATATATAAAATGTTATCCGGGGACAGAACAGCTTTCGCTTATCGCTTTCGGCTCCCCCCCGCCTACATGATTTATTATAAAGCAATAATAATATACTTCAGCTAATGGCATTTGTTGTCGATGATAATACTTTTTAGAGATAAAAAAAAAAAAAAAACAACAAAAATAATATTATACTGCTGTTAACGATAACGGCGTGCAGCGAAGAATACCACTTCGGTAGTACCACAGAACGTACTTACCTCTAATGAACTTCTCCCGTTTATAATATGTGTACGGTCTATGGTCATGCTGCAGCTTACGACGCGGCAATGGTTGTTCAGCCTGTATTACGAGTAAAAATTACAAAACAATAACTATCCAAATCCTTACAAGGAATCTTCGAGTTCGACATCCAGGACCAGCCGGTCTGTAGACGCGTACGATCCACCGCTTCGTGGACCAGCTCAAGGGCCCGTATCATATAGTTTAAACCTCGCTTAACCCACGATTTTACCAGCCGAGTTCGGTGGTTTAACATTAGTTTAACGATTGTAATACTGGCACTTAACCCGCCGGCCTTGACCACCCGTTGTAACCGCCCCTTCGCGAGCCGTCGTAAGCCCACCGCTCTTGCTGCCTCGCCCATGGTGTAGGGGGAGCGGAGGACAGGCGTTTACCGTGAGAACCTTTCCTCGCCAGGGCCTGCCGCACTCTCACGCAGCCATCGTTCACACTCAGGATGTTCTTCGCCATCGAGTAGAACTGATGGAAAGATTAACATTCAATGTAAACACACAGTTGCCGGTTTATTATATTATATCATTTACTGCCTATAAATAATATATATATATCTAAACAAAATTCAACCTTTCTCTCTTAGATCTTTAAAACCACTCACGGATTTCGATGCTGTTTTTTTTTTAATTGATAGAGTGAATCAAGAGAAAGGTTTATAATCTCGAAAATAACTCTACTTATTTTAATATGGTTTTCACTAATTAATCGGTCGATTTACGGGGGAGGTTTTAAAAAAGTCAATAAAAGTTATTTCAATAGACTATTAATTGAAAATTGTAAGGTGTATACAGCTTGATTTTTCAACTCACATAGGCTGTAGATAGGTAAAGGGAAGCTCACACATGTTTTTTTTAGCATATGAAAAAATAAATTATTTTTTTCAATCTAAATGGTTGCAATTTGTTACACATTATATTAATATTATAATATTAGAAGAAATATGGTATATACATTTAGTAAAAATATATATATTTTAAATTCAAATTTTTGGCCTTCACATCTAGTATATATTATATACGTATAAATGCTATATATATATATATATATGCCTATAAAGTACCACCATAATTGTCCGCTATACATTATAGTAGGTATAATCAATGATAGTATATAATAGTAAATAATTTTGTTTTATTTTCTTATATGCCAACCATTTACAGTATACAGCAAACACAACTATGTTTAAAATTATAATCTGTATTTGTTTATACAATATGTCCCGGCGTAAAGTGACCGGCCGACGTCATATGAAACCCAAAATGATGAATAAAAAGGGTATTTTGCTTATTGTATTATTGTACTGAATAATACCTAGAATAAATTAAAAGTTTGGTTATAGTAAATTCTATGATTGCAGAATTATACGCTGTAGTTAAATATTAATTAATTTAAAAAATGAGAAGAAGTATCCGGAATTATTTATTATTGATAGTTTTATTATTTTTTTTATATTTTTATTCGACAGATCGATGGATAATTGTTTGTAGTATTGTTTTTATCCAGACAATAGATTTGTGAGTGAATACTAATAATAATAATAAAAATAAATAATAATCGATCATTAATTATTCATATTAATTAGTATGGCCCGATTATAATATATAATACTAGCTGATCCCGTGCACTTCGTCACCCTTTAAATGTATCAACTCAATATGAGTTATGGACTCAAACTTTGTTCAATTCGTTATTCAATATTCGGTGTATGGTGTTCAAAATTTATCTTATCTTTTCCGTTGCCCGGAATAAAAATTCTGAATCGCAGCAGTACATTATCAGGTGCTGTTTGTACTGAAGTGTATGATTTAACTCTAAATTATCAAAGTTATAACAAATTTATTTTGATATAATACGGTGGATTAATATAACAAATTTGGTTGCTCGTAAAAAATCACAACACTTAAAAAAATTATGATTGTTGAACTCCTTTTGGGTGTAACTTGCTGGGGTAAGTGCAACTCAGCCACCCTGGTAGGCAATGTTCAATTATTTGATTTGATGCAAGCTTGTACCTGATCTGCCCGAATAACCAATGGCAACCAATAAATAAATGCTAATTTCTAATGTAGACTGTAACCAATGGCAACTATTAATAAATAAAAATAAAATTTCCAATTTCCATCTTGAATCTCAATGTCCCTGTTTGAGCACCTATTTAAAATGCGAATTTCGAAAAATCCTTTCTTAGCGCACGTCTACATCATAATAGCTATCTGTATGCCAAATTTCAGCCAGATCCGTCCAATGGTTTGAGCTGTGCGTTGATAGCAGTCAATCAGCTTACTGTTTTATATACACAGATATATATATATATATATTATAATATATTATAATAAAACAACATTACCATGACAATATTTATTTATTTACGGACATGTACGCTTTCGCGTTCGTACGGCCGCCCGTTCGTACGGCCGCCCGTTCGCTTTTTTTTTCCTCACTACCGTGCGTAAAGAAGTATAACTTCAAAAAAATTTACATTAAGCTAATAAACAATAATCAAATATATGTTGGATTCAAATACCTAATAAAACAAAATTGCCATATAGGACTACATATATTTTAACGTGTATAGGTACCTAACCTAACCATTATAATAATTAGATATTAGCTTATAGGTCATAGGTAAAAATCGAGGTGCTAACCTAATCCCCCCAGAAGTTTAATGTACACGTCTTAGCCCTCCTGGCCCTCAACATTTTAATGTGACTAAATTGACAATAGTTGTTATAATTATTGTAAAATACATTTTTAATAACTGAATCAAAAATTAAATTATCAAAAAAATATTCCATGTTAAACATTAAATTAAATTCGTAAGATTTTACAAATTTATTTAGTATTTCATTATCAAGACTTGGAACGATCGTAATAAATGTAATATCAATAATAAGTAATAATAACCACATAGGTTGTTTATCAATTTTCAGCAATCGTCAGTGTCGGGATGGTTTCGATGATATTACTTAATAATATGCTTTTTATGGTAATTAATTTAAATATAATTTAATTAATTGTATGGTAGTTAATAAAATTAAGAGGACGCCACACCCGCATGTGTTGTCACCGCCTTATAAACACACCAAATGTACGCTCAGAAATTCAAGTTTTATGATGTTAGCTTAAAAATTAGAGTGAATCGAAATATTATGAAACTTAATGGTAAGAACATTATCTCTGTTTTTTTTGGAAGTTTTTTTACGATAATTCAATTTGTAAGTAAGTTATGCGTGTATAATGAATGTAAATTAAAAACGCTCATAACTTACTCAAAAATTGAATTTTCTTAAAAAAAACTTCACACAAAACACAGATGCTATCTTTTTTAATAATTATGTTTTACATAATACAAATCTAATACTTAAATATATTATTAAAGATCTAGGAGTTTCATTTGGCACAAAATTATCTTTTAGCAATCATGTGGATTTTATTCGTAATAAAGTTTTTATGAAGCTGGGATTATTAAAACGTATGTGTAGTGATTTCAACGATAGTTCAGCTTTAAAAATATTATATTGTTTTCTAGTACGCTCCCATATTGACTATGTCTCTTTAAATTGGTACTCAGATAGTATTTGTCAAAACGGTGCTAATTCGGTATGCGCTCTACCGGTTTTGGCGTTCTACACTCGGTCTACATTCTTTACGCGGATATTGGACTGCAATTACTGTATATGCGTTATCTGCCTCGTTTTTATATAATATGTTGGGTATTTCTTTCAACTGTTAATAATCTTGATAATCTCTAATTATCTTTACCTTAAATTGTATTACTGATGGTTTTGCTTTTAGTACAGTCGTCACTTAACGAAGGTTGTTCGTTACGAGTATAATAAATATATTTTTTAATATTTTTGGTATTTCGTGTATTATTTATAAATTACGTATGATGACTGTAGATCATACCGACTCAGACACTTGTCTGTAAAGAATCATTAAGAGGACGTCTCACCCGGATGTGTTATATTTTTTAATATTTAATAATATTATCAATTAAAATATGATAAAATGTATAAAATAATATAATTTTGAGTTTGTGAGGAGTAGGGGTACAATTTTTTCCTGAAAAATATGTCTTGGGTGCCACATCTAGTATACAAACTAATTTTTGAAATATTTATCTTTTAAATGTAATTTTGAAAGACGTCCTCAGGGTATATTAGTATTAATATTTTTTCTAATATTTCTCAATTAAACAGTAGAATTAAAATGTTAAATTTAAAATTTGTTTTTAAACTACTACATAATTTTGTTG